TTTGATTATACACCTCCAGTTGTCAATGTAAACATCTTCACGCCTCTACCAAATTGTTTCAAATTGAATCAAGAGAAGTGTTAATATCACTTTATAATGCCCTGGTAAGACCACACTTGGAATACTACATCCAGTTTTGGTTGCCACAATGTAAAAAGATGTTGAGACTCTAGAAACTAAAATATATAAAGAAGGGTTGTTGGAATTGGGTATGTAAAGTTTAATGAAAAGGACTAGGGGAGACATGATAGCAGTCTTCCAATATCTCAGGGGTTGCCACAAAGAAGAGGGAGTCAAACTATTCTCCAAAGCACCTGGAAATAGGACAAGAAGCAATGGGTGGTTGCAAGGCAGGTTGAAGCTAACACAACCTTTTATTATAGTAACATACAGCTCAATGTAAGGCAAACCTCGAACCGGCAAACAGCAAAACATTTGACAGCTGACAGCCCTTTTATACCGGAGCTGTCAGACGCTTAACCAATAGCATAGCTGGATTCTCCCGCCAGCTGGCTGCTCGCGTCTTACCCAATCAGGAGCTAGCAATGCAAGTCAGTGGCGTCGTAGCCTCGAGGACTTAACAAAAGTGAAAACATCTTGCAAACGCCTTAGGTAGTAGAGAAGGGACAAGCGAGTTTTTCTGCCTCCTACTTGGAGATGGCGATCAGGTAAGCGACATCTATGCCTTTAAAATACATAGTGCATAATAAAGGAGTTAAAACCATCGAGTACCGTATTGCTAAAAAGGATGGGAGTAGATGAGAAACGCAGAGGAACTTCCTGTTCTGGATGACTCGTGGGAGGAGACTGGTGTGTGCAGAGCGTCTTTTGTGCTCTTTCCAGGGTCGAAGCAGCAGCTGGAAGGTGAGTTGAGGGCGGCTGGGAGGAGAGTCCTGGAAGCAGAGAAGCAACTGGGCTGAAGCATCTCACTGGTGCCGCTCGCTGTGAAACTGGTGGCTGCAATTTTCCTTCTGGTGAATAGATTGAAAATGCTTCTTTTAAGCTAAGGTTGATTCTCCAGAGGTGGTAGGTGCTCCATCACTAGAGGAGTGTAACAGAGGAACATAGTTTGAAGGATCCTTGGAGGTCTTCTATTCCTACGCCCTGATCAAGCAGGAAACCCAATATCATTTCAGACAAATGGCTGTCCAGTCTTTGCTTAAAAGCCTCCAGTGATGGATCACCCACAACTTCTGAAGGCTAAGCTGTTCCACTGGTTAATTATTTTGTGTGTCAGGAAATTTCTCCTTAGTTCTAGGCTGCTTATCTCCTTGCTCCATCCAGTTTCTTGTTCTACCTTCAGGTGCTTTGGAGAATAGGTTGGCACCCCCTTTTCTTTGTAGCAACCCCTCAAGTATTGGAAGATGCTATCATGTCACCTCCAGTTCTTATTTTCACTAGATTAGACATACCCAATTCCTGCAACCAGTCTTTCTTTGTTTCAGTGTCCAGCCCTCTAATCATCCTTGCTACTCTTCTATGGGCTCTTTATGGAGTCTCAGCATCTTTTTATACATGATTGCAGTACTCCAACTCTGGTCTTACCAAAGCAATATAAATTGGTACTAATGCTTCACTTGATCTTGACTATATCCTTCGGTTATTACAGCCTAAGATTGCATTGGCTTTTTTGGCCACTGCAACACCTTGCTGGCTCATATTTAAATGATTGTCCACTATGATTCAATGTTCCCTCTCATCCATACTGCCAGGTTCCATCTGCTCTGTATCTGTACATTTGGGCTTTTTTTGCTTTAGTGTAAAACATTGTGGTTTTTTTCTCCATTGAGTTTCATTTTGATAAATAGGGCCCAGTGTTGAAGTCTGTTGAGATTCTTCTGTATTTTGATCCTATCTTCTGGGGTGTTCCTGCCAGCTTGGTGTCATCTGAAATTTGATTTGGTGAATATAAATCACCAGGACCTGATTCTCAGAACACCAAGCTTCTGAGGGAACTGGCAGATGTTATCGCAGAACCATTGTTCCATATCTTTCAAAAATCGTGGGCTTCACCGGGATATTACTTGAGGATTAGAAAAAAGCTGATGTAGTTCCCAGCTTCAAAAAAAGAAAAAGAAAAACAAGACCCAGGAAGCTACAGAACTACAGATTAATCAGCCTACCATCGATACCTGGGAAGATACCGGAAAAAATAATTAAAAAGCAGATCTGCGAATAACTAGAAACAAAAAAAGTTTTAATTAAAAGCCAGCATGGATTTATTAAAATCAGATCATGCCAAACTTCTTATTTCATTCTTTGACAAGGTGGCTAAATTAGTAGACTAGAGAAATGCCGTGGACATAGTATATTTAGACTTCAGCAAGACATATGATAAATTAGACTACAACCTACTTTTTGATAAGGTAGAAAAATATGGGAAAAACAGCGTCACCAAGAGATAGATTTCTAACTGGCTGACAAACCATACTCAACAAGTAGTCCTTAATGGTACTACATCTACACGAAAGGAGGTAAGCGGTGATATGCCATAGGATTCTGTCTTAGGCCCAGTACTCTTCTGTATCTTCATATATCACTTATAAAGCCCTTCATGGTATTGGACCTGGGTACTTGAGAGA